GGGGCTGACGAGGCGGAACGACTCAAGCACTGTCGAGTGAAATGGTAGACCGTATCGAACGCACTGGCATTTCGATGATTGGACCCCAAGCATCCGTTCTTTCATGAGCAGCACGCTGAGGGATAAGTCCACTACAAAGCTTGTTGAATCTCTAGATGAGAAGGATACCCACAACAGGAGAAGTACACAGAGACGAGATCCCAAGAGATGAGAGTGGTCCCGCATCTTGATGTGGTGAACAGCTTTGTCACAGAACAGAATGCAAAACCACCCGAGACGAAGATGGGAAATGAGGGCGAAGTAAAAGGAAGTCGACAGAAACTTACCCATCCGAGTCTTGCTCGTCTGCTTCGCCTCGTGGATAATACTCCACGGCACCTAATTGCTCTAGCCGCTTATGCAACTTCCTGGCAGCCCAGTTAAATCTGTGGGAAATATCAGCCGTTGAATTATTACCAACAATAGCAACTGTGGTCCCCAACGAGTGCAACAAGGGGAAACAATACCAAAGGACCAAAAGACATACTTGATGTACAGGCTATCGCCAAGTCCAAAGGTCGTGAACTTGACCGCACTGAGGCAGCCTGGTGGTAGCTTCTTCCTCAAAAGGCTCTTCCAAAAGGCAATCGAGTTACGAGGCATATCTCCCTGACCCGTCGTTGATATGACGAAGATAACCATTGAGTATTGAAGCAACATGCTCTACCAGAGAGGTCAGCAATGTGTAAGGTATAGTGCCCAGAGACTCAGTCCGTGTAATGAAGTACATTGCTGGACAGATCTGCAGTGGCACATTCAGGCCTAAGAAGACTTACCAACTGAGCTCCGTTCATCTCATCAACCTTGGTCTTGAAATGCAGACGTTGGGCATTGCGTCCAATTTCTTCGGCAATGTCCTGAGCATTGCCGGTCTCCGAGCCGTAAAGGACCAGCATCGACCGGCCTGGCAGGTCAGCCACCACGGCCGGCTCGGGACCGGTGATTTCGGTGACCATGTTGTTGAACCGATTTTGAAGCGGGGTACTTGTTGCTTGCGAAAAGCTGATGGCAGATTCTATCTGGACTTGCTTGTATTGTGAACGCAATTGCAGCGTGATCCGGGTGGAACCTTTCAAAATCGTGACTCTAAGAAGTAGCGGCTCTTGGGTCTGCTAGCGCGGGGGTGCAGCTTCTCGGAAATGTTTTTCTCTGCCTTCTCAGCGGCATCGGAGCTGCAGGAGCCATTCGGACTCTCAAGGCGCAAAAATGCAAAAATGCAAAAATGCATGTGCTTTGTTTTGTAAAGTCACGTGTTATCGCACTGGGTTGATTTTGAGCTACTCACGTACAAGTAGAGATTTTGGAATTCTCAGTCAGACGTAAAAGTTGGAAAAAAGAGGGATTCTACGTCGTGATAGTCGAGTTTAGAGACAATCCTCGAAACGTCATTGAGTGCATGAAATTGTCTGGGGCACATGCTCTTGCGAGCGAGTGTAAGGCAGCCTGTCAAGGTCTGTGTATCGGTCAGCCACAAGCATGGGTAACAGCCGACCTCCCCAAGATTCAGGTACTTTTTTGCATGCGCCACAGATGCGAGAGAATCCCATCGAAGAGATGCAGAGCACCAGGACCCAGTGCCGGAACTTAGACAGTCACTAATCCCAACGAGATTAGAGCGGCGATTCGTGGGCTGAGACCCCCTAACAACTAAAGATGCGGCGGTGTGCTGCTTTGCATGCAAGGTAACGGTTGGGCGGGCTGGGACCACCTCGCACACGGGAGGTCGGCGCTGGTGTCACTCTCCAGGCAGGGCGAGTGACAGCATGCCCCGTTCTGAAGAAGCTCTTGTGGAGAAGCTTGAGGCGCTTTACTGCGAGACGACAGATGAGGCAAAGTCAGGAAGAACCTTCACGACTCAGGTCTCCGCCTCACCACGCCTCGACCTGCTGACACGACTGTTTCCGTCCTCACCAAATCCCACGCGAGCTCAGGATTCTTGCTGACGATGGCGACCAAAAAGTGACATAGCATGCGCAGGTTTGAAGACGAGGATTCATCTGTTCTGCTCGAGCGGTTGCCCTTTGCGCTATCCATACATCCCCAATACTATTCTGGGTGGGAGATTGTCTGTCGATCTGTACGCGCGACAGTCATCCCCTTGTTGATTGGTGTTGGTTGAGCATCGGATATTCGCTCGTGTTGACATCAATATCGGACATGAGAGCGCGGGATTGATAGGAGAAGCTAAGTCCAGGACAAGGGACAAAGGGAAACTTCTGCCCTCGTCCCTTCTTTGCTCTGTTGGCCACCCCCCTGCATTGCACCGTTAGGACCCATGGAGCTTTAGCGTGGGTTGCTAGGGGACCCTCACCAAAATCTTCATGCGCTCCGCGAGATCCAGTGGGCCATGGGAAATTGTATCATTCCGGACGCCAAAGCATCTCTCCGCGGTCCCATAGATACGGGAGGACGATGCTGACCAGGGACGGGAGACGGGCCCTGAATCGGCATCCGCCGGAGCCACATTGCTGAACCGGCCGGGCCAGCCGTCGCGCCACTCGCGTGTGTGCCAACTGCGAGTGTCTTGTATTGCCGTAGTTGAGGCTTGGGATTGGAGATGGGTAATTACGCTGCTGACTGTGTCCCGTCGCTTGCTCTAGTCTCAACGTCCAGTTCAGTTGATAGACTACTGCAAGGTGCAAACCGACCTAGAAAACAAACTGCATTGACATATGGTTTAGCTGAGATGAACCAGCCTGATCAGGTTCACTGAGGCAAGGTTAAGCAAAACAAAATCCATTCGGTAGACGTACGCATACAGGGCAGTTTCCCGCGATGGACCGTGGATTTAAAGCTCCGAATCATGTCTCCCACACCGTCGCACGAGGCAGTCAAGTAAGGTCGAAAAGACTGGTCGTGGTTGTTGACTGTGGTCGTTGGCAAAAAGGTTATTTGCACAGCGCTAGCTCCAAGAGAAATCAACTCATGTTCGGGCAGATAAGGGTAATTCGTACTAGACCACGAATGGTACCAACAAGCAAAGGATGAAAGAGCAAGATTCGCCGATATTGGGCTGATTGTGAGCTTTCCGACATAATGTTGCACGAGAGCATCCCATGCTGCTACTCTCACAGCGTAGATACGCATGGCGAGCAATCCCCAAAAATACACGGCCAGCAATATGCTTGAGGAGAGAGTATGCTAGGTGAGGCGGGTTTTCCCAATAGTTGATAGGCGGGCCCCAGGACAGCCGCGTTAATTGCTGCAAGTCTTGCCGATGTTGAGAAATGAGGTACGAATATCGGTGGCCAATCGGGATTTGTGGATGCGGCAAACGTGAGCAAATCGGGCCAGCAAGCACCTAGGGGCCATCTTGAGGATGCCAAAGTATCGGACCCCAAGGTTTGTGGACTGAAAATCGCACATGAGCAATCACAATGGTCGCGGGTAACCGCAAACTTCGGGCCGACACATACCTACGCAGTACTGTGTACGGAGTAGTCAAGTCAGGTCTGCTATCCGTACTCCGTAGAGACCAGACCGTAGCTGCCGAGATCTTTGTCGGATTTCTGGTGGCCAGTGGCTCCACGGACACGCACATCAGCGGGTGGGCACTGGTTCAGGCCTGGCTTGGCTAGGATCCCATCACGACCATTTTGCGGGGGAAGAGTCATACCACCGCCCTGATAGGCCGATGCTGTTGTCACCGCCTGGGCAGATCACACAGATTTCTTCTCGTGTGAGTTGCATGTTTTTTGTTGTCGGATTGCTCAGCATAAATGTCTTCCAGCCAGTCAGGGCTTATGTTGACGACTGACATAGCTGATAAGGCCTGATGTATAAATGAAGGTGCCGGCAGTGATACTCCGTACACCATAAATACATCGATGGAAAGGGGGGGAAAGAAAGAAGAACAAAAAGAAGCAATGAAGAAGCTGCACCTTTCTTCTCCTAGCAGGGGTTGTCGTCTGGCCCATCTCGAAAAGCCCGTGCTCTGTGGCTTGAACAGATGGCCTGTCAGGTACCTGCCATGTCCAACACTATCATGTGGGTCTTTCCTGGATGGATGGCATTCCACCGCCTTACCTTCCCAGGGTTGGTAAGGGGACCTCCTTCCACTTCAACGCTGGCAAGACCACCTTTCATGAAGGTTCGGCTTAATAAGGCACCTACCTAAGGTAGGCACCATCTACCTGATGGTACATTAAATTGGGTAAACAGTTGACGCGTGGGGAAAGAGATGAGCTGAACAGCTTGATCCTGCCTCATGCTTCAAAGGCACCCTCTAACGTGAAACCGAAGCCGTGACTGTGTGTTTGCACAAAAGGACTGTTCTGTCTTGGGTTCCTGTTGATAAATATATCGTAATCATAAGAAAGAAAGAAAAAAAAAAAAACAATAGGCCCATCGCGTCATCCGGCGAGAAACATATGGAAAGCTGCTGCGCTGCCGTCATTTCCATTCGTGCCTTCCCCCTTCCCCCTTCTCCTTACCCCATACCCCCCTACCCGGCTGCTGCAGACACAATAGGCAAGTACCCACCCACACCCTCGTCTTTCCGCACCGCCACAGCAGCCTAGCAGCCCGCTCTTGCCATCCCAAGGTACCCAGAACGTGGGCCGCACCTGCTGTTCGGTGGGTTTGCGCCTCGCTTACCCTCGTCCTCAGTTCCCCCTGCTCACCAGAAAAAAAATATTTGTATTTGAGGTCGCGGCTTGAGCCATCCCTTTCCTCTCTCCTTTCCCTCCACATCACAAATTCAAGATCCTGTGTCACCGCGCAACGCAACGTCGTCTGTCAACTTTTTTCAAGCTTTCTAGGGCACCAAGCTACCCTGAGAAAATTCCCCCTCATTGTTTCAGAGTTCTAATCCACCGAACTTCCATTCTCCATCAATCTCGAATCTTCGTTCCTGTCACCGGGTCCAAGTTCGCACGTCATCTGTTATCACGCACTTCACCGAAACGCAGCCTCAACCACCACAAACCTCCGTCTCCATCCACCAGACCAACACCGCCAAAATGTCTGCTGCCGTCGAGAAGGTTTCCGAAGCCGTCAATGACGTTACCAATGCTCTGAGCAATGCCACTATCTCCGACAAGGCCGCCGATAAGCCTGCCGCCAACAACGATGCCGTCCTCGCCAGCGCTGCTGAGGGACGCCGTCTGTACATCGGCAACCTGGCCTACGCGACAACGGAGGGGGAGTTGAAGGAGTTCTTCAAGGGTTACCTTGTGTAAGTCGTCGCGAATCTTCTCGTTGTCACTTTTGTCGTCACCGACCTTATTGTCGACTACAACCTGTCGTCATTCCATCATGGGGGCGCCTACTGTAGGCGGTAGTGCGAGCTTGTTGATGAGCAAGCTGTACCTTCCCAAAGCACCTGTTCCCCACATATCCTCTACGGCACTGCTTCTGACATCGCATCGATGCCCACTTGCTTGCATCGTTTGCACTTGACTCACGATGCATCGAGGTTGAGCGTCGCGTTGCGTCTGTTACTGCCCTGCTGCTGTTGTTGCCTAGACCGCTTCTCTCAACTGTCACGATGTTGCAGCGTGGCCTCTCATCCCTCCCCTGCCCCGCAAAATTCCACCCACTTGCGTCACACATGCCAACTCATACTGACCCGCCTTTTCTCATAGCGAGTCCGTCTCCATTCCCAAGAACCCTCGCACCGACCGACCTGTTGGCTACGCCTTTGTCGACCTCTCCACCCCTTCTGAGGCTGAGCGCGCCATCTCTGAGCTTTCAGGCAAGGAGATTCTCGAGCGTAAGGTCTCTGTTCAGCTTGCCCGCAAGCCTGAGCCCGCTGGAGAGAAGACTGAGGGTGCCAACGGTGAGGGTGCTGGTGAGGGTAACCGCCGCCGCGCCTCTGGTCGTGGCCGTGGACGTGGCCGCGGCCGTGGCGGTCGTGGAGCCCGCGGTGGCCGCAACGTAAGTTTAGGCGAAAGAATAGTTTGCGAGAAGCTGCTTACAAATTTACAGGAGGATGGCACTCCCATCGAGGGTGCTGCCACCGAGGTTCCTGCCGGCGCTCCCGCTACCTCTGAGGTTCTGCCTCTGACCGATGCCACCAACAAGGACGCCGCCAAGACCCAGAAGGCCGGCGAGTCCGCTGAGGCTCGTGCCCCCCGTGAGCGTCGCGAGCGTGGCCCTCCCGCCGACGGCATTGCCTCCAAGACCAAGGTCATGGTCGCCAACCTCCCCTACGACCTGACCGAGGAGAAGGTATTATCTCATCATTAGCTCGGTTTATGGCCTAGTGCTGACACATTTCAACAGCTCAAGGAGCTCTTTGCCGCCTACGAGCCTTCTTCCGCCAAGATCGCTCTCCGCCCCATCCCCCGCTTCATGATCAAGAAGCTTCAGGCTCGCGGCGAGCCCCGCAAGGGACGTGGCTTCGGCTTCGTTACCCTCGCTTCTGAGGAGCTTCAGCAGAAGGCTGTTTCCGAGATGAACGGCAAGGAGATTGAGGGCCGCGAGATCGCCGTCAAGGTCGCTATCGATAGCCCCGACAAGACCGACGAGGAGGCCAACGCCCCCAAGGAGGAGACCAAGGCCAACGGCACCCAGGAGGCTGCCACCGAGGCCACGGCTGCTCCTGCTGCTGCCGAGACCCCGGCCGCCGCTCCCGCCACCACCGCCTAAATGTAGGCGACCAACCTACAGCCCCGGCAATGCGTCTCGGCCCCACCTCCCGAGCCATTGCCTTTACGAGCTTTACGATGCGGTACCTGTTACGACGATTTCAATTTTTTTGGAAGTGCCCACCAAAAAGGTGGCCAACTACATCTACGTCTGCCTTTTGACGAGATTCGCTCTCGGTAGATAGGCCAAACAAGATGTGCAGGGCTGCCACCATCCCTAAACTAATACACATGATCTTACCGGCCACCTCTTCTGTACTTGTTACCTAACCTCCCATTTTCTCCGTCACCCTATGCTGGGTTGTAAATTAGCTTAAGCTGGAGGCGGTCTAAAAGGAAGAGGAAAAGTTTGGCGCAAAACGTTTCAAATCGGGTAGCTTTTTACAGTTCACAAAAAAATACAAAAGGGCGGTGCAACACCAAGAATTGTCCAGAGAATGCATCGTCGTTGTCGAGTGATTTTAAGGTTGTGTAATGTGGTTCGAGTTCGCAGAAATCGTCTGAACGGCTACTGACAGAGTGCTGCCTTGCACAGCTTGCACATGGAGTTCCATGGCCATACGATTTTAGGTATGTAATTCCTAGGACCTGGACACTTTTCGTTGACCACTCGGTGGGAATCCGTGGTTGGTTTCAGTGGTGCATGTATGGCGTTTCGAGGACTATCATTGGGTGGCGGCAGAGCCCCAAAAGCCAAGTGTCCCAGACCGAAGTCTGGACCTTTCCTTGTCTGTCGTGTCTCCAGCAGAGCCCCATGGAGTTGAAGTCCCCCGGTCCACCTTGTATTTTGAGCCGTGACTACCTGACCGACCTGAGAGATCCAATATGTTGCCTCGATTGCGTAAAGAAGTATTCATAAACTCAAGCAGGGCAATAGATACATAGATCTTGAAGCACACACTGGTTGGTCGGTGTTACCAGAGACTTGGTAGCTCACGTGTCCGTCCACCTGGGCCAAGAAACTCAAATACATGGATGAAATTGAGGGCAACGTCAGTCACTAAAAGGTACCCAACCCGACCAGACGCCCAGACTCCCGCACCCTAGTCGGCTGCCAGCAAAACCCCTTATCGGCATCGACAAAGCCCCTCCACAACTCCTCTGCGACAAGACAACCTCCCACGTACCTAAACCTGCCCTTCTTTGCCACGCATTTCTCCCTCATACCCAAATACCAGCCCTGAGCCCTTCCCACGATGGCTTCCAAGGCCATGTGGGAGGTCGATCCCGAGACGCGCGCCAAGGTGAGATTCCTTCCAGGTCGAATACCTCGCTTGCGACTTCGCGACTCGCCGCTAACCCAACGTCTCCTCATAGCTGGCTGCGATCCAAAAGGAGGCCAAGAACAACGTCTGCTGTGATTGCAACGCACCATCCCCGCAATGGGCCTCCCCGAAGTTCGGCATCTTCATCTGCCTCTCGTGCGCCGGTGTCCACCGCGGTCTCGGTGTGCACATTTCTTTCGTACGCAGCATTTCGATGGACGCATTCAAGCAGGTCGAGATCGAGCGGATGCGCCTGGGTGGCAACGAGAACTGGCGCAACTTCTTCGAACAGCACGAGGACACCAAGATGAGAGGCATTTCGTGGGACGACGCGACGATCGCGGAGCGATACAGTGGCGAGGTCGGTGAGGAGTGGAAGGACAGGCTGTCTGCCAAGGTCGAGGGCAAGGAATACGTTCCCGGCGAGAAGAAGCCCGCACCAGCACCGGCGGCGAAGCCCGCCAGCCGAACGGGCACGCCTCTCAGCAGCACGAACAGCCGCTCCGCCAGTCCCGGCAGGAAGGTCAAGGTCGACGACAAATACTTCTCCAAGCTCGGCGCCGAGAACGCCTCCCGATCCGAAGACTTGCCTCCCAGCCAGGGAGGAAAATACGCAGGATTCGGCAGCAGCCCCATGCCCGAGAAGAAGGAGGGCGGTATCCCGACCGTGGATGATCTGCAAAGGGATCCCGTGGCTGCTCTGACCAAGGGATTCGGCTGGTTCACAACAACCGTTTCCAAGACGGCCAAGACGGTCAACGATGGCTACATTCAGCCCACAGCGAAACAGGTGGGTGACTCTTCTACTTCAATCATATCTCCTCCGGCGCCGGCCCGAACGAAGAACTCCGGACTAATCCGACGTCCTCCTTGAAAATAGCTTGCCGAATCCGACTTTGCAAAGCAAGCGCAGATGGCGGCGGCCAACGCGGGCCGCGTTGCGCAGCAGGGTGCCCGCAATGCCCACGACGGCTTCAACCGCTTCGTCGAGGGCGGTCCCAGCCAAGGAGGGCAGGGCGGAGCCTCGAGACAGGCGCCGTTGGATGAGAGCAAAAAGGACTTTTGGGACAGCTTCAGCAGTCTGGCGGACCAGAGGCAGACGCAGAGCGGCAGCTCGATTGGTACGTCTGCTATGGGCAAGAAGACTGGAGGTGCCGCGGCACCGGCTGCGAAGAAGGACAATGATGGGTGGGATGACTGGTGAGTGCGGGCGTTATATACGGTGTCCGGAGAGGGGGTGTAGGAATTGAGTGGGTGAGCGGTTGTTGTGCTTCGGTAGGCCTGCAAGTCAAAGAATATCAATTTAGACTGCAATGTCACTTGTTTCGATCTTAGAGACGCTATGCCCTGCAATGTCTACTAACTGTGCAACTGTTGAGCTAAGTGTGTCTAATTCTCTCATGTCGACAGTGTTCTACTGGGTGGATAGAGTTGAGCGAAGCGAACGTCTCAAAGCCGAGATGCCTTCATATGAGGGCGGGATTTCCAAACGAGTAATTTGACCAAAAATGAGAAGCTTCGGGATTATGAGCCCGCAAGTCGGCGTCTACGCTCGAATGACCGAAAAGGGCTTACGGTGGGGCGGTGACCCGAGGTTAGCCGGTATCGCTAACGACGGATGTCCCATTTTCCCCAGTGACGACACGGACCTTGACCATTGAAGACCTCGAGCTCCCACCACACCCTCCAATTCCCATCTGCGCAGTACCACAAGCAACCCCCTCCACACATCAACGCCGGGCCATTGAAGAAGCAGAGAGAGAGCCTAGTCATGTCCGCACTCCGAATCCTCGTTCCCGTGAAGCGGGTTATTGACTATGCTGTACGTCTACCGAAGCTCTGCCCACGAGCGCAATTGGCACTACTGCAGAAATTGGCTTGTGATTGTGGTCCTCAACTAACATCAATGGTTCCACGAAACTAGGTCAAACCCCGAGTCAACAAGGCCCAGACGGGCGTCGAGACGGCCGGCGTCAAACACTCCATGAACCCCTTTGACGAGCTCTCGGTCGAGGAGTCAGTCCGCATCCGCGAGAAGAAGCGGGCGCCCGGCGGCGTCGAGGACATCACCGTCATCTCGGCGGGACCTCCCAAGGCCATCGACGTGCTGCGCACCGCCATGGCCATGGGCGCCGACCGCGCGATCCACGTCGAGACCAAGGAGGGTGACGACCTGGAGCCCCTGAGCGTGGCCAAGCTGCTGCGCAAGGCCGCCGAGGAGCACAAGTCCAACCTCGTCATCCTCGGCAAGCAGAGCATCGATGACGACGCGAACCAGACGGGCCAGATGCTCGCTGGCTTGTTGGGCTGGCCGCAGGCTACGTCGGCGAGCGTGGTGGAGTTTGGCGAGGGGGATAGCGTAAGCGTCACGCGCGAGGTTGATGGTGGCGTGGAGACGGTCAAGGCGAAGTTGCCGATGGTGATTACGACGGATCTGCGGCTCAATGAGCCGCGGTACGCGAGCTTGCCGAATATTATGAAGGCCAAGAAGAAGCCGCTGGAGAAGAAGAAGCTGGCTGACTACGGGATCGGGGTTGAGAAGAGGTTGAAGGTTTTGAAGGTCACTGGTGAGTTGTTCTTTGCGCTCTTTGGCGAGGCATTATTCTTCTTTTGTCCCCGACACATTTGCTGAAGAAATTGGGCTGGTTGTGTTTTCTTCTGGAGAATTTGCGAGCTAACGAATCTTCACAGAGCCCCCTCAACGCCAGGGCGGCGGCAAAGTCGAGGACGTTGACGGTCTCGTTGCAAAGCTCAAGGAGCTCGGTGCCTTGTAAAGGGCGTGTAATGGCCTGTACCAGTACGAAGAGACCCTTTTTTGCAATAGAAACGATTCAAAGGCAGGCTTCTCGGATGTTCGGACATTATCGCGGACGCAGTGTTCGGAATACGAATGCACTTTCGAGCCATCAATGATATCTCACGGCACAGCTTGACTAACGCAACATGTGGGTTGCATATGATACTGATATCGCAGCTGTTTTACTACAACACTAGACTCACGGGACTCAGAGCCCTGCATTGTGGAAAATCAATGTACCCGGTCCTAACCTGGGCGTGTCACATGAAGATTTCTTGTTGCCACACCATCTTGTATGGCTCGGATCGGCTGACTTCTGCCATCTTGAAGTCGAGGGAGAACGATAAGCGACATAATTATCAATTGTTCAGATGAAAAAGCAAGCTGATATACCTTGCTCCCCTTAGCATCTCGGTCGAGGAGCTCGGCGTAGAGTAGGTGTTACGCGGTAATAGTCCTCTGCGCTGTCGAACCTTGTCAGATGGTTGTGATTGCGGACCATAAGAAAGTCAACGGAACGGTCCGGTCAGCGACGTGAAACCGAGCACGTAATGTACCGCCCATTTGGAACCGGCGAGAATGAATTCAGATTGCAAGGTATCTCGGAGATAGATCTCGGAATGCGAAGGCACAAGGGACGCGAGATGTGGTTGACCAGCATGAACGTTTGCTGTACTGAGTTTGCTAATTGTTCTGACTCAAACCCTGCGATGTGCGTCGGCTCGTCTAGGAGGTAGGCTGATCTCCAAACGAATGGCATCGATAGCATGCAGAGTTCACCACTGCAGCCTGTCAGTATCTCCTAGTATCAATCAAAAAGGGCAAAAACACAAAAGCTTGGGTGCGCGGTCCGGGAATCGAACCCTGACTGCGCTACACCTACGAAGCCCTCCATCTGCTTGGGGGAGCAGACTTCTCAGGGTTTCTCACAAAGTTCGTACCCTAACGTCTCAATGCGCTATACCGCTCGGCCACCGGGCTCGATTGGGCTTGGTTGTGAAAAAGGGCGCTCGATTTGAATATAAGGCAAGGCAAGCACTCCTACGGCAGGTGCTCGTCGGGATAGTATTCACAAGGCAAGTAATCGGCCGAGGCGGGTCGGGTGTATATTCCGCAGGACCAAACTTGGGATCACAGAGGCCGTCGTCCAATTTTCTACATCAGGTTCTGTCCCCTGTGACTATCGATCTTTCAGCCATCACACCTGGCTATACGAGCTCCCACCGGCAGCTTTATCAAACTCCATCGCCTCCTGCAGCCCAACAATGCTAAACAGCTTCCTCGGCGAGAAATCAGACTTTGTCCCGACCACGCCCGTCTCCTTCAACCGGGCCAGCGAATCGCGAATCGCCTCGTACGCCGGCGCGATTGCCGCAAACGGCACAATCATCATGCGGTACCCCAACTCCTTGGCCTCGGCCGCCGTCCACGACGGCGTCGCACCGTGCTCGACCATGTTCAGCAGCACCGGCGTTGGCGCAAGGGCCTGACACGCCGTCCTCGCCTCCTCCGCCGAAGTCACGCCCTCGAGGAAGGCGACATCCGCGCCCGCCTCGACGGCCGCCCGGAGCCGGCGCAACGCCTCGTCGAAGCCGTGCGTCTGGATCGCGTCGGTGCGGGCGATTACGACAATGTCGGAACCGATATTGCGGCGCGCAAGGGTGGCGGCTTTGATGCGGGAGACGAAGACGTCTGTGTCGACGACTTGTTTGCCTGTCAGGTGGCCGCATCGTTTGGTCTGCACTTGGTCTTCGATGTGGAGGCCCGCGACGCCGCTTCGGGCGTATTGTGTGACGGTGCGGGCGACCATGTTGGGGCCGCCGTAGCCTGTATCTGCGTCGGCTACCAAGGGGATATTAGGGTCTAGGTTGGCGAGCATTTCGGCGTGGGAGCGCATGTCGTCTAGAGTTGCGAAGCCGAGGTCTGGGAGGCCTAGTTTTGAGGCTGATGTTCCTGCGCCGGTCTGGGTTTTCTCGTGTTAGTGAAGGGGTGGGAGTGAGAGTGAGATGCCAAGTGTGAATATGTGTTGGTGGGCTTTTACCATGTAGAGACCGTCGAAGCCGACTTCGAGTGCGATTCTGGCGCTAAAGCCATCGTAGACGCCTGGTAGGAGGATCAGGTCGTCTGTCTCGTTGAGGCGTTGCCGCAGCTTTATTGCTGCCGAGACTGGGGTTTGGGGGCTGTCGTTGCTTGATGTCATTTTAAGATTCGATTGCTAGATCAATTTCTCGATAATGGGTAAAGTCTGGTTGATTTCAACTCTCCAGGCCACCTAGTGATATAAAATGAACTGCCAAAATAAAGTTGGAATCTGATTTCTATATGAAATTGCGCTGAGCGACACAGAGATAGAGACAGAGAGAGAGAAGAAGTTCAAAGTCCGAGAAAACCCCGCCAAGACGCGCCGATGGAAATAGTTCATATCCGGGGTTTTTCTAACCGACATCGCCTCCTTCATGACGCAACTGCCGTGGATGCATGCGGTTAGGCTAATGTTGCGTTGAATTATTTCCATCCCCACATTCCCGTAGTTCCCTCTTATTCCTTCAACGACTCCCCATTATGAGAATGAGGTGCCAACTCGCCATTCGGACATTTCGGGCAGACGGCAACGGCTTACTGGGAAGTAGTCTATTTCCACGACTGGTCGACCATTCAGAGAGCCTCACGTTCTGTTGCGGGGTGGAGGGAGGGGTTTGGGCCTTATTCCCGTCTTGTTTGCTGGGCTTTTTTTTGCTGAATAATTGACAAGAATTACTCCTTTGTACGTTTGGATGAGCGCCGAAGTCGGTTCGATTTTGTGTGCTTGCTTCCATTTAGTTTTGGGACCTCGGAGCCGTTGCGGCGAGCTTATTCGGTTGTTTGAAATGAGTTCGGAGATGTTGAATGTTGGATGAATATGTAAATGGGGGCGAGCGGAATAGTCTATGGAGTTTCCACGGCTCTCATTGAGCTTCGCAAGATGGTGTGAGAATGTCAGGAGTGTGGATTGGGCGGGTTGTGTACGGCATGTCACTGTGAGACGCATTGGTGCAATGGCTTCGGTGTTGGGCAAAAATATCTCTGTATCACATGTGTACCATTGATCTAGTATTTCTTACTTGGTCAACTATAGGTGACTTGTGATGTAACTTCGTTGAGCATATACATCCCCTGTCTTTCTTGAATCATTCAACGAGAAAATCCGCTCATTACGCTGTATATGATAGTGGCCATTCTCTCTATATGAGAGAAAGAAACAAATGAAGACCACGATTCTGAAGGTCCGGTCCTTATCATACTCCCTCACGGAAGCGCATCGGCCGAGTTAAAAAAAAAGTCTCCGTCCGATCACATGCTCGTCCATACCACAGCAGAGGGGCAGCATTGGACGGTTAGAAATTTCGACCAGCTTGAGCCCAAGCTTTCGTAGATGAGCTACCATCTTTACCCCCCTTTCCCCCTCCCAACGTCACAGCCGCGATGCGTTGTAGAGTTTAACATTTTAACATTTTGCATACATTACCTTGGTTGCCGCCGAGCAAATGTAAGCATCTCGGGCTCCCGGGAGTTTTAATTTTGACTTTGGAGCCTGGAACGTTGGTGATGGGCATTCCCGTCCACCCCCGCTCAATGAAGTGAGAATACAATCATTCATGGTGACATGCTGAGACCTGATTCTAACAGTGGCAACTGGCAAACCTGGAAGCCAAGCTCGTTATCGGAAGCTACGGTTTTCGGCTTATTGATGTTTTGCTTTGTTTTTTTTTGGAGCCACTTCGCATGTGCTGCCATGTGAGTGATGGGCAAATGTGTATGTGGAAGAGGGGAGGAGGGGGGAAGGAATATAAGCCTTTTGGCTTTTACCATCCAGGTCATGTCAATGTCCGAAAGCGAGGCGACGCCAGCCCGGCTTGACTCGATATATCAAAAAGGCAAAAAGCTGCCAGCCACCACACCGAACCAAGACTCCTCGGTCATCAGTTCATCCTTCTTTACCCCTCTCCGCTTCAGTTCGAATAATTCTCTCGCGTGATAAAATCGTAGCCTGGAAGGAATCGGAGTTTTCGCCCAACATGGGTAAAATCACCTCTACGAGTAGAGAGGAGGTCTCGGTCGACACGATCGAAAAGGGCCCGCTGCCCTCCGCATCACCGTCGTCGTCGCCGGCGTCTTCATCATCCCCGCAGCTCGTCCTCGAGGCACCCGATGAGGTGGTCATGGCACACCCCGAGTGGCGGGCGGCGGAGAAGAGGCTGGTGCGGAAGCTGGATGTGACGCTCATGCCGGTGATTTGGACGCTGTACATGTTCAATTACCTCGACAGGAATAATCTCGCGTACGTTTTTTCTTGTCTCTTTTCCTGCGGTTTTGGTTCCCCTGATGTTGGAGTTGGCGGTCCGCTGTTCCGTAGCAAAAAAGGAGCTGTTCGCAATATCTGACGTATAATGATGATTCGCGGTATAGACAGGCCAAGTTGGACAAGTTTGAGGCGGATCTCGGGCTCGTGGGGGAGCAGTTCAACACCGCTGTAGCGATATTCAACGTCGGGTAAGTCCTTTTTGGTGATGCTTAGCGGCCTCTCTCTGCTGGCTTGGAACGCGGCTGACCCTCTTTTTGCCTCGGCGAATTTAGATACATGGTCGCCCAGTTGCCGTCCAACATGCTCATCACCCGCGTGCGGCCGAGCATATACCTCCCATGCTGCGTGCTCCTGTGGTCGTGTGTATCGGCGTCGACGGCCGCGGCAAAGAACTTTTCGAGCCTCGTCGCTATTAGAGCGATTCTCGGTGTTGTCGAGGCACCGTTCTTCCCAGGGGTAAGTGACACAACTCGTGCTTTTCTCGCGAACATTTCCCCGTTTTCGAGAGGCAATCTAGCTTGTTTCTGCCCCTGAAGCGTAGAGACTCCTTGACCTCTTCAGAACCTCTGCTGATCAATGGGGTGGGGGAAAATAGATCTTCTACGTCCTCTCCTGCTGGTACACCCAAAAGGAAATCGCCTTCCGCACAGCAATCCTCTACTCGGGTATGCTCGTCGCGACGGCGTTTTCGGGGCTCATCGCTGCCGCCGTCTTTGCGCACCTCGACGGCGCGCGCGGGCTCGCGGGCTGGCAGTGGCTCTTCATCATCGAAGGGGCGGGTAGCTTCGCGTCCGCGTTCGCGGCGCTGGCTTTCCTGCCGGACTACGTCGGGTCCCGGACGGGCATGTGCTCGTGGCTCATGTCGGAGCAGGAGCTGCGGGTCGCGGCGCAGAGGATGGCGGCTGATCGCGTGTCGGTGCCCGAGGAGAAGTCGAGTGTGTGGAGGGGGCTGGGGCTTGCTGTTAAGGATGCGAGGACGTGGGCTTTTGTGAGTTTCCCACTCTACCCCCTTTTTCCCCTTCATTTTGATCCTATCGCTGTTCGAGGAAGCGCAGCTATCCCCTCCCTGGGAAACGTAAAGTAGAAGAGAAACAGGTTCTCGACTGACTTGAACGGCGCTCGCAGGTCTGCATGATGGCCTTCTACCTCTCCTCCCACGGCCTCAACAGCTTCTTCCCAACCATCGTCCAGGGCTTCCACCTCGGCTCCAACACAACGACCCTAATGCTCACCGCGCCCCCCTACCTCCTCGCCGCCGCCGTTGCCCTCTGCGTCGCCGTCTCCTCGGACCGCCGCGCCGACAGGGGTCTCCACATCGTCGGCCCCGTCTGCGTGGCCATGCTCGGCTTCGTGATCTCGGCGGCGACGACGAACCGGCCCGCGCGGTATTTCGCCAGCTTCCTGTACCTGCCCGGTGCCTTCGCGTCGACGGGGTTGATTTTCAGCTGGGCGGCGAGCGTGGCGAGCGAGACGCCCGAGAAGAGGGCCACGGCGACGTCGATTGTTTGTTTGTTGGCGCAGATTGGGAATATTTGGAGCCCGTATTTCTTTAGGCCGGCGGATAATCCGAGGTATTTGCTTGCTTTTTTGTTGATGATGATGTTTTCCGTCATGTGTATCGGGACGGTGTTTTGGATGAGGTGGTCGCTTGGGAGGGCGAATCGGAGGATATTGGATGAGGCTGAGGGGACGGGGAGGAGGGTGAGGTTGTATATACTCTGATTGACGAGGGCGGGAGAGAGCAGAATGGTTGGCGTTGGAGTTTTCCTTTTTTTATTTAGGGGGAACCATCACTTGATGTATGACTTGACGAAGCTTATAGAGAATGAAGGGTATGATATTTGATGGATAACATCTTAGCAACGTCACCATTACGGTCTTCAGTGGCCTCAAGCTGACTTCAGCAAAAGGTCATTGGCTCGCAGCAATGAAACTGAAGCAGTCCCCATTCTGCCGCGAGGCTATCTCATCTTGACCACTACTTGTAGCTTCCGCTGCAACGCCCTTACAGTTCACTTGAAGGTGAGGCGTCCGTCCCCACTTTGATAGCTTCACATAAAGTTCAAAGAGTCCCAGCAAACGCGGTATGAGAAAGTCGTGACTCTGCCGCGAACGTTGGTCTGTCTGCCCACAATGCTGACTTGACGTCTGTTGGCGACAGCGCAATGAGAAACTCCTAAGTCCTGAGCACGAGATGAGGGGTCAAAGGCCAAAGTTCTCGACCGCATCCTTGGCATGTATGTAACCAAGCGTGTTCTACCGGACAGCTGCTGACAGGATGAGACCACATGTCGAGTTCGAAGTCGAGGTAGCATTCCGCAGAATCTCGTAAGTCTAAACACAAAAGACGAGTGAGACAAAAGAGGCGGAAAAAGAAAAGACGATAAGTACATGAGAGCCTCGGCCGCGATGGCCCGCTGCGTGCGTTCGCGTGGTCGCGCGGTTGCGTGGCTACGTGCTTAGAATCATGTTGTAATAAAAGTCATTGGTTGAGAAAGGCAGACCGCCTTGAGTGAGCCGGGGTTTCCGAGCTGATGGGTGCTGCAAGGTCCTGCATCTGTCTTCTTTCAAAGTTCAAACGCACCCCTCCAGAGTCCAGACAGGAACAAAAGGGACGCAGACAGGCGGGCCCGAGTCGGTGTAGACTGCAGGATCCTGGAGAAAGGGTTGAAAGGGACTCTAATCGAGGGTTTCCGTTTCCGGTTGGCAAGGGAGGACCCGATAGCTTGCGATAGGCCGGCCGCCAATGCGCGTCCCCGTTTGACAGCCCCGTTGGAACTTGGAAGAGGCAGGAATAGTTGTTCAGTCGTTCTAGCCCAACCGGGGAGAGGTGAATTACCTAGGTGGATGGTTGGATGCATTTGCATCTATGCGATTTATACAGGGAAACCCAGGGCTGTCTACAGTATGCAATGTCAGCAGTTTGAACTTACCCAGTGGGACAGTCACCTACTGCGTAAGGTAGGCTCTAGCTGAAAGTGGGGCTCCGAACCCGGCGGCGGGATGGGGAGGGCGCGAGAGAAAAGCAAGACGAGAAAGAGCCCACCAACTCTGATATTGCGTCAATTTTGGGAGAATGAAGCTTTGGAATAGTGTGCCGGGTAGCTGCAAAGGCGATCACTGGGTCAAAAGCGTCTTTCTGCAGCCCAATGCCGGCTCAATGGCATGGCGTAGAATTTTTCTAGTGTTGAAGTTCTGAACAGAGCATTTCCGTACAAAAGTACAAAGCGCGGCGGGCGGTGATGTAATTGTCCAAGAGTAGGGTACCTTACGGATAGGACCAGTCCAATTCGGCTTCAGCAGGGCTGATAAGAACCAGGGGCAAAGTGATTAAAGGGCGGAATTGCTAAAAGGCTGGGCGAATTATGTAAAGCCCCGCGATAAGGAACGACATCGGCGGGCAGGCGGGCGCCCTTGTGCTGGGGCGGGGAGGTACCTACCTTACCACACCTTGCCCTGCGGTTTACCTGCCGGCTGCCAGTGCCCGCCCGGTGCTTTGGTGACAGCCCAAGCTTGGTGCGGCGAGAGTTTCCCCTGCAGGCATCCTCACAACGGGGGGCCCGTTGACCCCCCTTCCACTGGTTGACTAGCTAATCAGCGACCGATCTTTCCCCAAAGGGTCCAATGACAAGCTCTCCAAAAAAAATTTGCCCGGCCCAACCCAAGTACTGCTGCTGGCTGTGACCTGCCAGGTTGACCTTGACCTGACGTTGAATACCTGGGACTTGGACGGGGGTGAGCGGTGGTGGAGGTGGAGGAAGAGGAGGAGAAAGAGGCCCCGTTTGCTGATGTACCTACGCCTGGCTACTGCGCTCCATCTGTGTGACTCCGTGGGCCGGCGCTCGTGCTTCCTATTTTTCTACCCGATCTCCTCCCACCGCTTCCCTTCTCTTTTTTCTTTCCCTTTTCCCTTCTCCAGATCCAAAAATCCTGCCGCATCGTGCAACACTCTCGTCACAGATAACATCCAGCCATCATCCCTCCACAACCTCGCCTCGAGCATTTCACTACCCTTCTTCTACTGATTGACCATTTGCAAGCTGCCCTTATGAACGGGCGTCCTTCAGTCTTCACCTCTCAGGTATGTCAATGTCTTCATCTCTTTCTCTCTTACCGAATCCTTCCTTGGTGGTTCATCTGAGCTCGCGGTCTTCGTGATACCTCTCAACCCCGCCGCCAAACTCTGTCTCAAGCTGGTGCCCATAGCCCAATTGAAGCTCTCTGGTGTTTAGTCCGCTTGCGCTGAAGACGCATTGCCTCTTGTCAACCTTTAATATTGCTAAATTTCGGTTGCTGACTCGCTATCTTCAGGATTATCTCTCAGGTTAGCATACTACTCCTCGGTTGACTCACCGCCCCTCCAATGTGGCACGCGAGACTGACCATGTATCCCACCCCCCAACAGACCACTTGTGGAAGGCTGCCAGCCCCTAAAGTGTCTATCCAAACCACAAGCAACTTGTTCTACAACACCTCTACCTAAACCATAGCCAACATGTTCTCCCGATTGGCTTCCCTCACCAAGCCCGCGGCCAACGGTGCCGCCGGGTTGAGCTCCGGCCTCCGAGTTCAGACCCGATTCCTCTCCGGCCAGGCCGCTGGAAGCAAGGGCCGCAAGATGCCCTTCACCCAGACCCGTGCCACCAACCCCGTCGCCAACCTCGACGCCACCTTGACCATCCGAGTATGTCACTGCAGAAAACTATCTACCTACTTGGTGATGATAAAAACAAGCTTGCTAACAATTCCTTTAGGATGGCCCCGTCTTCTCCGGCCGAGCCTTCGGAGCAAACTCCAACATCTCTGGCGAGGCCGTCTTCACCACCTCCCTGGTCGGATACCCCGAGTCCATGACCGACCCCTCCTACCGTGGTCAGATTCTGGTCTTCACCCAGCCCCTGATTGGCAACTACGGTGTGCCCTCCAACCAGCGTGATGAGTGGAACCTCCTCAAGTACTTTGAGTCCCCTCACATCCAGTGTGCCGGTGTCGTCGTCGCCGACGTCGCCACCCAGTACAGTCACTGGACCGCCGTTGAGAGCTTGGGCAACTGGTGCGCCCGTGAGGGTGTCCCGGCCATCTCTGGCGTCGATACTCGTGAGATCGTCACCTACCTCCGTGAGCAGGGTTCGTCCCTCGCTAGGATCACCATTGGTGACGAGTACGACGCCGACGAGGACGAGAGCTTCATCGACCCCGGTGCCATCAACTTGGTCAAGCGTGTCAGCACCAAGGCTCCCTTCGTTGTCGAGTCCCCTGGCGCCCGCTTCCACGTTGCCCTGATCGACTGCGGTGTCAAGGAGAACATCCTCCGCAGCTTGGTCAGCCGTGGCGCCTCCGTCACTGTCTTCCCCTACAACTACCCCATCCACAAGGTTGCCAGCAACTTTGACGGTGTCTTCATCTCCAACGGCCCCGGTGACCCGACTCACTGCCAGGAGACCATCTACAACCTTGGCCGCCTCATGGAGACCTCCCCCGTTCCCATCATGGGAATTTGCCTCGGCCACCAGCTCCTCGCCTTGGCCGTTGGCGCTCGCACCATCAAGCTCAAGTACGGCAACCGTGCCCACAACATCCCCGCTCTCGACTTGACCACCGGTCAGTGCCACATCACCAGCCAGAACCACGGTTACGCCGTCGACTCCTCCACCCTCCCCAGCGACTTCAAGGAGTACTTTGTAAACCTCAACGACGGCTCCAACGAGGGCATGATGCACAAGACCCGCCCCATCTTCTCCACCCAGTTCCACCCCGAGGCCAAGGGTGGCCCGATGGACAGCTCCTACCTCTTTGACAAGTACCTCGAGAACGTCCAGATGTTCAAGGACAGCGAAAAGATCTTCAAGGACAACCGCCCCACTCAGCTCATGCTTGACATCCTCAGCAGGGAGCGTGTCGGTGTTGAGCCCACGACCCTCGCCGCGGCTGCTTAATTGAGCCCATAGTGTGTGGTGCGAACGGGGGTTACTTGTGTTCTGGTGCAAAACGGGGTTTCTGGTTTTTGTCTTGTAGTTATGGGTATCGCGGCAGTTGATTTGGGGTCTATTTGGACCTTGGGCATGCACATTAAGTGGGGTTTGATGATTCCTTTTTTTTTAATCACACAGTTCATAGCAGCTCTGAGACAAGCTACTTTCCTAAATTGAAACCTGAAAAGATTCATCATATGGAAACATCATTCTTCCCCAGTTCATCTCCAGTGATAAGTGGCTAAACAAGCAGCAGCTAACGACCAGTACAACCGCGATAATAGTAGGTCCCAGCTGGAAAAGTGGTCTTGACAACGTGGAAGGAAGAAGTGACAAGAAGGGTAGGCATATCCATTGTGCAGTCCGAAGCAGCAGAAAAGGTTGCAAGAGCGACGTCCAGCCTAGTCATCGACGGATTTTGTTCAGATCTCAGGTACTGAACTCCAGCAGATGCACTTCATTTCCACATCACTCTGGCACATACATACAAACGCATCGTAGTCTCAGCTATCCCACCGCCTTTTTGGTCTTTCTCGACGTCTTATACTTTTTTCCCGTATTCATAAACACAACATCAACAGTCGAGAGTCAACCAAAAGACAGTTCTTCGACATCACCCGGCATGGATGATCTCAAGGACAGCTCTTCGGAATCAAGCGGCATGGATGGTTTCATCTACGATGACTGGGCGGACCTCATCTACGATGAATGGGAGGACCTTCACGCTGCCGACGCCTCGCAGCTGGGTCCGTTGTTCACACCAGAGGAGTCGAAGGAAATCGACGCCCTGCTCAAAGTCTGGATATACCCAGTCTATGGTCAGCAGGCGGACTTCTGCGCTGCTGACGCCTCGCATCAAGGGCAAAGACTAGTTCAACTGCCTCTTCCTAGCGAAGGCATCTTTCCTCCTAAACCCTTCCTTCAAGCGCCTTTGTACTTTGAGAATTCGACGCAGAGCCGCAATGCCACTGGACTCAATTGGGAACATTTCTCTAAGGAAGTGGGCGCCTATCGAAACATCTCGCCATCGCAGTCGTCTTCTCTACCGGTGTTCTACTTTCCTCCGCCAAGCTTAGAATCTGCCTCCCCACCACCGCCTTCGCGTATACATCTTGCATCGAGCGAATATACTGCAATCGAAGGACAGGCTTCTCAAATCCCAACCTACATCATCGGTATCGGCGGTAGCCCTTCGAGTGGCAAGTCAACATTAGCCTTGCACCTTAGCTACGTGTTCAAAAAGTTTGGGCAGTACAGCAGAGTCTTTACAATTTCACAAGACGCCTATGTCCTCCCTTCTGCAGATTGCCCACAAATAACTTTGCGAAGTGGGAAGCGTGTTGTTCACACAAACTGCTTATTTTCAGTTGACTGGGAAGACATGATCAAAGATGTCAATAAGTTGAAAGCAGGCAACTATAGTTCCCGGCCAGGTCGAACAAGAGAGACATATGCCACTGCGAAGGGCCACCATGCTCGCATGCCGCATCTGAAAACGTCGGATATCACTGACCTTGTTCGTCAAAGGAAGACCACTCTCTTCATTGCGGCCAAATCAGGTCGTCAGAGCTTCTGGATAGCTCGCTTTTGTTACAAGATATTCACAGACTGCCCGGACAATCCAGAGAATTCGACAGCCTTGCCGTCTCAACAGTCGGGATTTGGGATGTTCGGCAGCGATGCTCAACAGAAAGCCTAGGAAGCTCTACGAAATATGATTGATCTCAACTTGTGTCCCAACGTTTCAGAGCGAACTGCAAGAACGCGGGCATCAGATCGGCAGAAGCAGTATAGTTAGTACCAAAATGTGCCTCGCTCTGTCGCAGAGGACTGCACTGAGGAATACTTTGATGAAGTCGCCTGGTAAGAACACCACCAATAGTGACGAAAGAAATGTAGACAGAACGGCTGATGATTTGATAGGCCGGCTTACAAGGCGTACCACTCTCATCATGAGCCCGAAGATGACGGCTCCAGACCTGCGACATACAAGGAGCTCTTGAGATGGGCTGTAAACCAAATCTTCAGGGTGAACGGGGTTGTTGGAAAACAATGCCGGAAAGATAAAGGAGGTCAGTAAAGCCAAGGACGAAAGCAACCATATGGGCTGCTCGAGGCAGGCGGGACATTGCCAGGGGAGGTTGACTGGAAGAGAGAGTAGAAGAAACAATTTGTCACCGAGGGTTGGTCATGGGGTCACTTCGCATTGAGTCCTCGCAGTCACTTCTGAACCCCTTCTTCTTTAGGTACCCTCTCCTTTGGTCTGGGCACACGGAGTATATTCCAACAAAGACATGGCTTTCGAGGCACTATCAACCCAAGGACTCCCTTCTTTTGCTGAATACGTTGTCAACTGCGTTCCTTTTCCAAGATCGAAACTGGAAGCATTGGGGCTCGACTCTATCGAAGACACTTTCAAAGTTCTTACGTTTGAATAATTGCTTCCATAGAGGACCCCCTTTCTGAGTGCAGACAAGTCCACTTTCTGAAGAGCGTTTGACTCCGTGGCGTTTGCTGTAAAGGTCGCCATGAATCACGAGCATCAAAACAGTAGGATCGTTCACAATTTTCAAGAAGCTTCTTCAATTAGCTAGTGGTATCGCATCGTGGAGTATGTGCCTGTCCCCACGTCTCTCTATGAATTCGAACCGTCGTTTGGGGAAAAGAAGAAGGAGAGAACAATACAGTCTAGACCTAATCTATTTTTTGCGTTTGATCCTTTCCGCACCCCGCCCAACCGCATTTTGGGATGTTGTTGTTGTTGAGCTTGTGCTTAATGCTCCGTAATAAGTGACCCATTCTCTCGACGGGCTCCCTCGACGCATTTCCTCTACAATGACCAGTTTCCTTCTTCGTTTTCGTCCTGAATGCCTGCCACAATCTTCCGGCTGGCTCTGGAGGAGAGTGGGGCAGGATGAGAACAACCTCTAAGTTCATCGTAAAGTTGGGGATTCTCGAAGTAATCGTGCCAGCGCCTCGGCAGCCTGCTGTATCCAAACCTCTTCACGAATGTCGTCGACCTCAGGATCATCCTCCACTACCAACACCCCGAGTCGCCCCTTCTACGCGGGTTCCCTTGCTGGGGGTGGTGTCATCACCGTCGATGGCCCCGAAGGCGAAGAATACTAAGGTCCGCCTGCAAAGACCAACGGGGGCGTCAGAGGGCGGGTGCGCAGGGGACAAAAGCACAAGCCATGGCCAGCGGCGTTGCGGCAATGCGGAAAGTGGTCCGTAATCTGATTTTGGGGATCGCTGGCATTATCGACGCGCCACGGACAGTTGCAGTAGTCTGATTCCGAATAGTTGGGGCATTCAGACCTGTGAAGTTGCTGTCGATTGGACTCGAGAGAGCTAGGCAAAGGTACTGAAGGCCTAAACGCGGTCATGGAAGGTGTTTGAGATGCAGCCATAGACATGATGGAAGCCGAAGCAGCGAATCGATCACCCTGAACAGATGATTTGGGCTCCTAGTACCGGCTGCCACGGTCGTCGGAACGGAAACGGCGGCCGCCGTCGGGACGAGAACCACCAAAGTTTCCACGGTCGCCCTGGCGATAGGGGCCGCTCTCATTAATTCCCGGCAAATACCTGTCGCTGACCATACGGGGGCCGCGACGGCCGTTGCCACCACTGCGTCTACCACCACGGCCTGGAGGAGGCGGTCCCCTCGGCGGCGGTCCTCCACCAGCCATCTGTCGACGACGCTCAGCCTCTCTGTGTGGGGGCCGGATGCCGACAAAGTTCTCGTGACCGCGGTCGACAAACTTGTCGCCCTCTTCGAAGATGTAGCGGTTGATCTCAGTCTCCGGGCCCATGTCTCTATCGATATCTTTGGTGTAATAAGAACGCATGTTCCGCAGTCGTCTGCTGACGAGGTCATCTGAGACGGCCTGGAAAGAGACCGGAGGGTGGGCTCGCGTGGTTTGTACAGGGCCTCCGGGAAAGTTTTCAATCAATCGTGGAGGTCTAGGACCAGGACCACGCTGGGAGTCTCCTCTGGGGCCTAGAGGAGCTCCTTCAAATCCTCGGCCACCACGAGGGCCGAGAGGAATGGCGTTGACGTCCTTAACGGCTGGGCCTGAAGGTACACCCCTAGTTGGCTCAGCCGGTGCTACGCCATTACCAGAGACCAGGCGGGCGGTGACATATCCATCGTCTTCGATGTCGTAACGCACTGCGAATCGAGCGCTTCTGTTGGATTTTCCTTCAACCTCCTCCTCGTGAATCCAGTCCCTTACTTTTTCTGGTGGCACAAAGTCCACCGACAGTGGCTTGCGGTTGCTTTCGTCTGGCCAGGTGACGTCATGCAACGCGTTGCGGACACGCGAAGCCAGTGTTGTAGTTCTGAACACTGCAAATGCATGAGATTTGATGGAGTCCAGGTATACGTCCTCGACATCGTCAGAGTTGGGCTCCGCGCCAGCAGGAGTTGATAGCTCAACAAGACGATCATGAACTGTGGACTCCTTCAAGGGTCTCATCAAGTTCTTGATGTAGAGAGCCCTGGTGGCAGGGTGGATAGCTGGCTGCACCGTTCTTTCGTACTCCATGGCGTTGTTGTCGTCTGCTGGCGCAATCTCATGTCGCTCCTGATCAGTGACTGGACCGTCCGCGGGGTGAACTGATGCCTGTCGATGGCCAGGATCGGCGGCGATCACTGCGTCCACCTTTCCGTTAAGCTCATCCTGCATCTCCGTGTCTTCTTCGGCGTTTGGCTCCGTCGTCGGCTGATCCTGTTCGATAGGATGGCTCTCCGTGAGCTCCTCAATGTCTTTCGACGTGTCCTTTGCCTCCTTCGCAACATCCTCAAGAAGCCCGCTACCTCCCTCCAGGCTCTCCTTCAGGACATCCTTCACACCTTCCTTGACTTGGTTTATAACACCAGCAACGCTGATCGACTCTGCGCTTGGTGCATCGTCTGCATTGTCTGCCTCGATACGGTCTTGGTCTGCCTTGATGCGCTTGCGAGTAGACTCTGACGATTCGGCAGGGCTTTGAGATCGGCGCTTTCGTTTCTGCGCATCTTGCGCGATCTCAGCGGGAGCAGGTGGCGTAGGGTTCGCGGCGGCGATTGATTCCGGAATGGTCGTCTTCGTATCTTGGGTTGCGGGCTCGGCTGCTGATTGCTCGGGCTTGGATTCGGAGCTTGCCACAGCTGCTTGCGCAGGTGTAGTCTCAAGATCGGCAACAGCTTCGGGAGTGGTGTCGATGGGGGCAGGTTCGGTAGGCGCCTCCGTAGACTCGGCGGGTTGGGGCTCAGGCTCTTGGGAAGCCTCTTCTTCCTCTTGTGCCTCTTCCTGTGTCTCTTCCTGCACCTCCTCCTCTGCGGCCTCGTCGCTAGTGGTCAGTCGCTCGACGAGCTCCTGTTTGAGACCAGCGGTGGCGAGTCCTCGGCGTTTCAACTCCGCCTTGAGTTGAACGACGGTTTGCTTGCTCCAGTTCATGATGAATAACTGCTGGTTCGGCGCAAAAGCTGGCGCATAGCTAGACTACTCGTAGGAATGTTTGTATAGCAGGTGCGTGTGTTGGGGGGTGCGCTCAGCGTTGGTAAGATGATCTTCGTATGATGGAAAAAAGCGATGTTGGCCTATTCGGGTTGTAGTTGCAGGACGTGAACGTGATGAGCCTAGGTGAAGACACTTGATTGCTCTGAGGCGCGTCGTCGCGACCTGAAAAATTGCCCCGTCATGCAAACCAGAGCCTCTCCACTGTAAGCAGGCACGCTAATAAAGCAGGGAAGTCACTAGTGCAGGGGTTCCTTCCCACCTTTAGTGATCGATCCCGTCTGGGTAGGCAAGATGTCATTTCTGCCAGTAGACCCACAACTTTTCGCTAGGCCGGTTATCTGCCGGGAGATCAGTCACGTGGTCTA